TCGTCTGCATGGAAGGTGCTGCGCCAGAGGACCAGCCGCCTGGGCCAGAGGGCTGGGCGGTACATGGCCCGCGCAAGGCGGGGGCCAAGCGGCTCTCTGAGGTTTTCAGGACAGGTGGGTTGGCGTTCATACTCCATGGGGCGAGGGTCAGCGGTGTACCCACGAAGACCTTGCAGCGCGACCGCGCGGTCAACGAAAGGGCCATCTCGGGCGAGATCGGCCAGAAGTCCAGGACCGTGCTTTTCGCCCTGCGGGATGGCAAGGACTGGAAGCGCGACCCAGCCCACGCGGCGCACGCCCTCCCGCTGAGGGCGTGGGCTCGCGCAGTCTTCCTACGCGTGCGGCCCCCCGCGGTCTTCGAGCAGGTGCTGAGGCGCAGACCAGGAGACTGGGGTGAGGTCACTGGGCCAGCGGGGGCAGTCCGCCTCTCGCTGGAGCGCATCGGTTGGGAACTGCTAGACTGGCGTCGCTGGAGGGACGACCGAGGGCAGATTCTTGAGCTGCAGCTGCTCAGCCCGCGGATGGTGACCAGCCTCGTCGAGAGAGGGGCCCATCGCTACCTCATGCTGAAGATCGCGAGCCACGTCGGTTTCGAGCCCTTCCAGGGCCGCCCGCCCGACCTGGAGCCGTTCAGGACGGCCCTGGCGGGCTTGCGGCGCGCGGGTAAGTCGCAGGAGGCCGCGCTGTTGGAGGCGCACATGGCGGGCGGGCTCGTCACGCAGTCCGACCTGTGCAGCGAGGGGGTGGATCTCAGCCCGCTGTGCCAGTGGTGCGGGGAAGCACCAGGCACGGCACATCACGGGCTCTTCGCGTGCCCCGCCATCGCCTGCTGGGCGCGCGACCATGGCTTCCAGGAGGTCGCCGACGCTGGCAGAAGGGCGCCGCAGGACGACCTGGGCCTGGTGAGGGGCCTCCTCAACCTTGGGCTGGACCAAGCCCCGCCCCTTGGAACGGACGAGCTCTGCCACCGTGCAGGTTGCGCGCGGCAGGGCTACCTCGACGGCGTCATCTGCATCGACGGGTCCGCGCTGTGCCCCGAGATCCCGTGCTTGACGCGCACGGGCTGGGCGGCTGTGGTGGTTGGCGATGTCGGGAACGTTCGGGGCTGCCTCTACGGGCTCACGCCAGGCTGGATCCAAGAGATCGGCTACGCGGAGCTCTACGCGCTGCGCAGGGCGTTGGAGGAGGTTGGCCCATCGCCCATCACGGTCTACACCGACTGCAAGGCGATCAAGGACGACTTCGAGGCGGGCCGCGACTACTGCTGCGGCCCAGGTCACAATTACGCGGACCAGTGGAAGCGGATCTGGCTGCTGCTCGACGACTTGGGCCTTGGCTTCCTCACGTTGAGGCGGCCGCCGTCGCACGCCTCGTGGGCCGGGGCCAGCGCTGCAGGAGCGCCCTGGCAAGCCTTCGCGGGCAACAGGGAGGCCGACGTGAGGGCGAAGGACGGCGCGAGGCTCCACCCCCAGCAGGAGCGGCTTCTTGAGTTGAGCCGCCGCTTCGGCGCCGCCGTTTTGCAGGCCGAGGCCTGGTGCGGCCACCGCGGGGGGTCTTGAAAAAGGCTTGCCGACCTCGGGTGGCCCGATCGTGGAGCTCTGCCTGGGCCCAGGAGTTCGGACCCTGGGACCCTGGCCATGGTGGGGCCCGACAGGGGGCGCGTCTTGGCCAGGCTGGGACGTGCCTGGGGTTGCTCGGCCTGCGGGATCCGTAGGGCGACCAGGGCCAGGGTCGTTTCCTGCACCTGTCCAGGTCTCCCGCGGTTGGTCGCCAGGTCCCACCCGTTCCACAGGCTCTGGGTGATTCGGGGCGGGGACGGGCCTCTTGGGAGCAGGCCCTTTGGGACGGGTGGAGACACGCTGGTTTTCTGTAGGACGTGTGCAGCCTACGGGCGTAGGCAGGCGCACCTCCTCACTGTGTTGTGTGTTCCCCTGGCCAGGAAGAGTCGCGACGCGGCCAGGCTGGCTCGGAAGGCCCTGGATCGCCTAAGAGCTGGTCGGGAGCCCCAGAGCGGGGCTTTCTGGGGCGCCCCTTTTTCCCCTCTCGCGGGCTGCCACGGTTCCCGCTACGCGTGTGGACCCCAAGGCCCGTGTGGCCAGCGCGAAGAGCGATGGCAATCGCGCCTCGGGGTCTGCGTGCGGGGGTGCCTCGCAGTTGCAAGCATTGTCTGGGCTCGCGGAGCCAAAATGGCGGCTGTGCATGGCTCTTGGGGCCCCGCCCGTGACAGGCTCTCTCTTTCCTGGCGGGCCAAGGGCTGTCGTCAAGTGCGGTGATCCCTGTTTGAGGGTGTAGGCGGGATTGCATAGCGGTCCGCCTCAGGTCAGGAACTAGAGGAACTAGATGAGGAGGAGGAGGAGGAGGAGGAGGAGGAGGAGGAGGAGGAGGAGGAGAGGGAGAAGAGGGAGGAGAGGGAGGAGGAGGAGAAGGAAAAGGCAGAGGAGGAGGAGGAGGACAACTGTAAATCCAAGACGCATCAAACGATGTTGCAGTAACCATCCCCTCCAGGTTCCTTCTGCGCAAGTTCCTGCAATAATTCACTTTCATAGCTGGAAGTGCCCCACTGGAAGACCACCGTCTGAGAATCCTCAATCGTGCCAAACACAGTTCTTGGGACTTCAGCGCCGCGAATTAATGTGAATGTTGCGTACTGACAATCCTCATTCGTACTATAATATTGGTCTCGCGGAATCATTTGTTACGTTCTTATCTGAAAGTTCTAAATCGCGCCAGAACGCCATTCCTGGGATTTCAGTATGATGCATTCTTGAATGTATTGCAGACATTCAAGACGAATGTTCGCGGCGCTACCGCGAGAGCCACATGTTGAAAAGGAGTTGCCTTCAATGCTTGAGACGGCTGTAAACTCTCAAGACAAATGAGTGTGCGCGGCGCCAAGACGACAGTCAAATTTTGAACAGGAACCGCCCTCCATCCATGAAACTGTAGCAAGCTTTCAAAACGAATGTGCGCGGCGCAACGGCGAGAGCCACAGTTTGAAAAGGAATTGCCTTCGATGCTTGAAACTTTTTGCGAACTTTCAAGACGAGTGTGCGCGGCGCTATGCTAGAGCCACATTTTGAAAACCACCCGCCATCCACCAGTGAAATCGCAGCAAACTTCCAAGGCGAGAATGCGCGGCGCTACGTCGAGAGCCACATTCTGAAAACGGCCGATCGGAGCTCTCGCATGTCTCAAAAGGTTCCGGATCATGAATTCTGAGGACGTGTCAGGCGAAACGCCCTGACGCCCTGCCAACACACCTGTGGGTGCGACATGGAGGAGTTGAAAAGGGGTGGAGGATGAAAAGGAAAAGGAGGAGGAGGTGCAGGAGGAGGAGGAGCAGGAGGAGGAGGAGGTGGAGGAGGAGGAGGAGGAACTGGAGGAGGAAGGAAGGGAGGCGGAGGAGGAGGAGGAGGCGGAGGAGGAGGAGGAGTCGTCACAAGTTTGAGCTGTTCAGGGGGCGACCCCAATCAATGTGCAAGGAAGGAGGATGAAGAAGAGGAGGATGCGGAGGAGGAGGAGGAGGTGGAGGAGGAGGAGGAGGAGCAGGAGGAGCAGGAGGAGCAGGAGGAGCAGGAGGAAAAGAAGGAGGAGGAGGGGGAGGGGGAGTCTGGGGAAGGAGGAAGTGAGGGAAAAGCAGGAGGAGGAGCAGGAGGAGGATGAGGAGGGGGGTGGAGGAGGAGGAGGAGGAGGAGGAGGCGGAGGAGGAGGAGGAGGAGGAGGAGGGAGGAGGGAGGAAGGAGGTGGAGAAGGAGGAGGAAGGAGGAAGAGAGAGGAGGGCGCCCGCCGTCAGAGGAGAGCGCCCGCGGCGTCGAGGACCCGGAGGCTCTCGATTCCCCACGTTGGCCTCCAGAAAAGATGTGCGCGGGGGTGGGCCTGGCGGCCAGAGCCCCGAATCGCTCGGGCCTGGGGTGGTCTGGGGTATCTCCTGGCTCTCGGGGCTCAAGAGACGAGGGTCGATGCAGTCGGGGGTCGCGGTCAGAGCGCCGGATTCTGCAGGATCTTGCAGGGCCAGGGGTGCATCGACCCGGGCTTGGGCGCAGGATCCTGCAGGATCTTGCAGGATTTTGCGCAGCCTGACTGACCCAGGTGTGGATTGACCCGGGTCAGTGGCTGCCCGAGTTTCGCGCGTCGGGGGCCCAAGGTGGAGCTGCCCCAGAGCGGAGGCATCCTGGACAGTTCGGGCGTCCGGCCGTTCCCGAATCATCGGGGCGAGGGGCAGTGAGGGGTCATTCCTGGCTCGTGCAGCGTGCGTGGGGGCCCAGACGGGAGTTACAGCGCAGACCCATGCCAAGAAACACCCTGCTTGCCTCCATGGTGCCCTGGGTTTCTTGGGTTTCGATGGTTTTGCCATGGAGAACGCAACGTTCCCACACCGAAAATCGACGGACGTCCTGGGGTCTCAGGGTTGGGTTTCCTGTGAAAGGTTTCTTACGGTCGGGCCCTTACTGACTGTTAAGTCGGGCTTGTCCCTCTACAGAAGGAATGTTCAAAAATAGTTTTAAAAAAAAAGTCAGGGGACGATATTTTGAACAGTATGTTTTGACCATTTCGGGGTATTTGTTGACTATTTTTGATTTTTCTTCCAAAATCCCCCTGTAGGAGGACAGGCTCGGCTTAACCTTACTGTACTTTGGACCAGAGTGATCCCCGATAATTCGGGCGTCCAGGGCGGCGCGTGCGGATGGGTGCGAGGCCACGCTTCTCGGGTCCCAGAAGATTAGATTCCGATTGCGAAGGCCGCGGGCGGCCAGTGCCGCCGACTTTGAAGGGGGACGACGACGACGACGACGACGACGACGACGACGACGACGACGACGACGACGACGACCGCGACGACGACGACGACGACGGCGACGACGACGACGGCGACGGCGACGACGACGACGACGACGACGGCGACGACGGCGGCGGCGGCGGCGACGACGACGACGACGGCGGCGGCGGCGGCGGCGGCGACGGCGACGACGACGACGGCGATGTCGTCGACGAAGCTGACTCTTTGGGGCCGAAAGCTTCTCCCAGAGAGTGGTGCTGAGTGCGAGGCCACGCCTCTCACAAGTTCCCAGAAGGTGATCCTCCGCAGCCTGTGTGGCCCAAGCTACCCGCGCAGGGTCTCTTCGCAAGCGAGCTCAGTTTCCTGACGAACTCATCCGCGCGCATTATTCCGCGCAATGGCTCTGACCATGAAGATTGTTCTCTGCGTCTTGGCAATTAGCGCAAGGTCTCCTCAAGCTGCACGTGTCAGCGTGAGCGAAGGAGCTCTGGCCCTAGCTGAAAAGCGCTCGACTGTGGACTTGGGGCGTGAATTCGACCTGAAGAAACTTCCGAAGATGATAAATGCTGGCATGAACCTGGGCATTACACTCATCAGTGCCTTCAATGAGGCCGACCCGGATATCGAGTTGGCCATCGAGAGCCTTGAGATCCAGGGTTGGCAGTTGGTGACGCTGATGATCCCCGACGAGGAGAAGGATTCGACCGCCATGATGAACGCGAGGAAGGCGTGGGACGATGCCTTCGGAGATATCCCAGGGCTGGTGGAGAGAATCCAGGCATCCTGGGCGAAGTCCGATGCGCAGGGAGCGCTGGAGATCCTGCTGGAGGTTGTCGATTTGGGGCTGCGCGCTGCGGCGACAGTCGCCCCAACAGAGGCCAGATTCATCAGCGCCATCTCCGACTTTGCGAAGGGATTCGGCGGCACGGTCTCGAGCTTCAGCAAGAAGATGGACCTCCTCTCCTCGGGCGATTCCTTGGCGCAGACCGGCGACGGGTTGGGGCGCGACGGGTGGGACGGGGCCCACATGAACAAGTTGCTGACCACCTCGGTGGGTCTGGTCACCACCTTGATATCCTCACTCCTCGAGGAGCCTCCAGACTTCCGATATGCCATCGACTCGTTCAAGGTCCAGGGCTGGCAGCTGGCGAAGCTGATCGTGCCCAGGACGGAGTGGCGGTCCCAGGCTTTCAAGAGTGCCAAGAGGGCCTGGGACGAGGTCTGGGCAGACGCCGCGGATCTTACCGAGCAGGCGCTCAGTGCTTGGAACGGCGGCAACGTGGACCAGATGATCGATGTGATTGTGCAGGCCGTGGAGAAAGGCTTGCGCACCGCCGCCCACGTGGACACGTCCCGAGAGAGGGAACTCAATGCTGTGGCAGACCTGATCAACGGCGTCTCGGGGAGCTGCATGAAGCTTGCTCACGAGATCGGGTGGCTGGGCGATTGACGGTCCCGCTTTGCTTCGGCGTGACGCCCCTCAACCTTGTGTAGCCGGGCGGCCAGGCGACCCTTGGAAGAGCGATCCGTCATTGTTGCTTCGACGATTGCGGTAGGTTTTAATAGACTCAAAATTCATAGGATTCAATAGACCTGCTTCCGCACAAGCGCAGCACACCGCGTGAATACCTCTCGAGAACCGCCCAGAATACATGAAGAAAGGTCCCAGAAGAGGATCCCGATGTGCCTCCTGCTCCAGAAGGCCAGCTCCGTCACGGGCAGCTTCGGGATGGGAATGGTACGAAAGGGCGCCATTGGAGGACCCGCAGTACGAAAGGGGGGGGCCCAACGGTTCCGCCCCCGCCCTCCCCCGATTCCCCTCTCAGAGGAGGAGGATTGGACGCCCCTCCCTTTGTCTTTGCTGGAGGAAAGGGAGAACCCTCCCCGTCCCCACTCTGCGCCGAAGTCGAGTCTCTTCGCTTGTTTGGCGGCAGATGTGCTTGCCACGACCGACTCGTGGCTCGCTGAATCCGCGACGAAAGACAGTTCGGCGGGAGACCGAGTGAAACGCTGATCGCTCTGGTGCATGGGGGGGGTGTCAGTGTGAACGTGTTAGGGTTAGGGTGTTTGGTCTAAGTTGTTGGGGTCTGGGTGGTAAGTTCAGGAGACTTAGGGTTAAGGTCAGGGTGTCAGCGCACCAGGGTTAGTGTGTTAGGGCACCAGGGTATTAGGATTAGGGATTATGGTTGAAGTTGGGGTTGGGGAGTCTAGTGTGTGAGGATTAGGGTGTGCGGATTAGGATTTCAGATTTAAGTGGTAGGGTCAGGCGGTTAGGGTTAGGGTGCTTAGGAATAGGGTGCTAGGGTTAGTCTGTTAAGGTTCGGATGCTTAGAGTTAGTCTTAGAGGGTTGGCACGAGGGTGTAAGTGTTGGGGGTGCCTAGGGTCATTGTGTTAGGGTGCTCATGTGCTGGTGCTGTAGGGTTAGAGGGTTGGGGTTAGGAATAGGGCGTTACTGTTTGGGTGCTACCATGGTTTTCGATCAACAACGCCCATCTCTTATGCATGTTGAAGCGGGTCCACCCCCCCGACCCCAAATCCAAAGTTCGGGGCGGTCGACGCGGGGGAGTGCGAGTCGTTTCAAGAAACGCCCACATTTGCAAACCGCGGCCTGCTCCCTTCGATGAACATGGAAATTGGGGGCGCGGGGGGCGCTCTCGCGCCATCTTCTAGTCGTTGTACCTGTTCCTTTTTTTTCCGAAAACGCGGGTAGTTTTCGGTGGTGGTTGGTTTGTGTTCGGGACACGGCGCTTGGAGTTCGGATTAGGGTGTTAGGATCAGGGTGTCAGCGGGTTGGATTTAGGGCGTTCGGGGAACTGACGGTTATGGTTAAGGTCCTGGGCGCAGGACGTTAGTGTGTTTTGGTTCGGGTGTTCTCGGGTTGGGTTTTCGGATGTTAGGGTAAAGGGTGTTAGGGTTAGGGGACTCGTGGCTAGGGTTAGGGGCTGGACGTAGGATGTTAGGATGCTCAGGTTAGAGTATGACACTGAAAATGTTGAAATGCTGTGAGACATTATGTTAGTCTTAGGGTACGCTCGGGTTCGGTTGTTCGGGGTCGGGTGTTTCGATCAGGGTATGAGGGTGTTGCAGTTCGGGTGTTAGTGGCCAGAGCGTTAGGTTTAGGGTGTTCGGTGTAGGGTGTTAGGGTCGGGATATGAGTGGTGGGTGAGGTGCTCAGGGAGAAACGAGTGGGGGGGCCATCAAAGGATGAGTGGGTTCTCAATTGGGCCCTGGGACGGAAAGGGTGGACGTGGGTGGGTCCGGGACCGCGGACCGGGGAATGCGGGAGAGGGAGGGGGGTGGCAGTCCAACACCACCACTTCCAGAGTCTGCCCGCGGGGCACCCTCCAAAAGTGCGTCCCTACTGGTTGCGCGAGCTCCTCGACTCTGCGGCCCGCCGCCGATCTGGCCTAGCGCGCCGGCCCCCCTTCGCCCCACAGCTTTTGCCTCCCACTCTTTTGCGCCATGGGGCTGCAGGCCTTCGGACCCTGGGGGGGGCCAAGCACATCCACATCCACCGCCCGCCGAGGTCCCCGGGGATCGATGTCCGAGGCGGAGGTCGTGGACGAATCCCCGCTCCTGCTCCCACCTCTCGGCTCCCTGGAACCTCGACGCATGGGCTGCACGGAAGGGACTCCTCCCCGACTCCGGATCCGGCGTGCTCTGGTTGACCCCCCTCCGACTTTACAGCTGTGTCGGACATGCGCCCCAAGCGGTGCGAAAAAGGAGGGCGGAGAGTTCCGCCTTGGAAAAGCAGGACGGCCATCCCCACAAGAGTGTGGCAGAAACAGCGACAGCAAAGTTGGGCGGAACTCGGCATCCAAAGGAGCTCGGAAAGTAGGGCAGAAATTTCCGCCCTACTTGCGAAGTCGCCCCCAGTACGGCAGATCTTGGGGGTCGGGACAAAGCTTGCCGCCACAAGTAGTTCAGAGCTCTCCTCCACGTCGCCGTCCTCTTGTCTGGCCGCTGGCAGGGCGGCCGCAAGCTGCGTGGTATAGGAGGGGGGCCGACGGCGGTGTCCTCGAGGGTAGTGCTAGCATGCATCTCGCAGCCTCCCGTGCACTAAAGTCAACTCGCATAGTCAGGATGAGCGACTTTCCAAGGCTACACTTGCATCCTCGCCTCCTCAGCCCATTCTTGGCCGCTTTCTCTAAGAAGGAAAACGGCATACACATAAACTGTCAGCACTCCGCGCGGATTTCTTGGATCCGCGCTGGGCCCCCCCCCTGGCGGTGCCTCCAGCGCCACCCCTGGCGCACTGCGCGCGCCAGTGAGGGGGTCCAGCGCGGATCCAAGAAATCCGCGCGGAGCGCCAAAAGTTTATGTTTATGCTGTATTACTTCTTAGAATCGTAAGAATAAGCGATTTTCCAAGGTTACACTTGCATCTTAACTTCTCAGCCCATCCTCGGCCGCTTTCGCTGGCCGCGCCCCGCTCGCAAAGTGTCGGCATGGTCTTCCAAGGCCCTTTTGCATCCCTTATCGTGATTGCGTTCTATGTTACGGGTTGACTGTAGTCAGGATGAGCGACGTTCCAAGGTTACACTTGCATCCTCGCCTCCTCGGCCCATCCCTGGCCGCATTCGCTGGCCGCGCCCCGCTCGCAGAGTGTCGGCATGGTCTCTTTCAAGACCCCTGCATGCCTTGTCTCACCGAGTGCGTTCCACTACTCGCAAAGTGCCTACTCGCAAACGTTCGAAGAGCACACATGTTCGCCTCGATCTGACGGATCGTAAAACCACCGCGGCGGATCCAGGCCCTTTGCGAAACGCTGCGCGTTTTGCCTGGCACTCAAAGTAGAGGCGGAAGATGGCTGAGGTTGTGATTGGGCTCCTGAGGGAGCCTAGAGCCGTTAGCCTCACAGCTTTGACGTGAGGTTCGTGGGCAGTGTGAAACAAACAAAACAAAAGAGCAGTCCCTCGTGGGAGTAGTGGCTTGCGCTTCTGTCTTTGATCGCGCGCTCTTGGCAGGCGCGTCGCCCTTTGCCCGCGCTCGCGCAGCGGCAGCCTGGCCCTCGCGCGTGGCCGCCAGGAGGTTGCCGCCGAGGTCTTCGAGGCCAGCCACCGGGGGTGGGCGCGCGAGCACGGCCCATGCCGATCCGATTGGTTCTGCGACCCTCGTCAAAATGAACCCCAAAAATGGCGAACACGCCCCCGCGATGTCGGCGCGCCCTTAAATGTCGATAGACGCCCCTCCAATGTCGTGGCCAGGGCAAAGGTGCTCTGACCGGGACGACTCGGAAGTTCGATGATGACCGACATTGGAGGGGCGGCGCCTACAAGTACCTCGCAGTCATCGCTACTCTGTCCAGTATCTCCCCACAAACAGTTCAGCCACGTAAGACATCTTTGAGGTTGACTTTGACGAGGGTTGTATGCCTCTTGGATGGGGTCGGAGTAGATGGGGTCGGAGCATCGCGCCGCATCGCCGACGCATCGACGATGCGGCTCGATGCGGCGCCCGATCTTCTCTGCGCCGGCGTCGCCGATGCATCGCCGACGTCTCGCCGAGGTGGCGCGATTCTCCGATCCCCCCATCTACTCCGACCCCATCTGGGAGGCCTCTATCGATCCAATTCGATCGATATCGGTTTCGGCCATTTCGGCGCCCTTGGTCGGTTTTCGGCACCCTTGGTCGGTTTTCGGCGCCCTTGGTCGGTTTGCGGCGCACCTGGGCGGTTTTCTTCGCCCCTGGTGGGTTTTCGGCGCTCTTGCTCGACCCGATGCCGATGATCTGGAGATCCGCTGCGGTCCGATGCTCGCACGGCGCGGTTGGGCATCCTGGTGCAGCCGATCCGACTCGGCTGCGATTCCGTGCCGATGCGGCCGGTGCCGACGCGCAGGTCGGATCGATCCGATGAACCTATTCGACGCTGAGGGAGGGGGAGGAGGAGGAGGAGGAGGAGGAGGAGGAGCCGGAGGAGGAGGAGGAGGAGGAGGAGGAGCTGGAGGAGGAGGAGGAGGAGGAGGAGGAGGAGGAGCAGGAGGAGCAGGAGGAGAAGCAGGAGGAGGAGGAGAAGCAGGAGGAGGGGCAGGAGGAGCAGGAGGAGGAGGAGGACGGATCCTGCGCGAGCGGCGTTCCGGGCCAGGAGTGGCACGCGGGGCGCTCCAGGGAGGAGGGGGCCTCGCCTCTCGGCGGAGGCCGGTCCGAGGCAGAGCGAGGGCCGCTTGCGGCGCAGGGTCCGGAGGCAGAGGCGCCCGCAGAGATCCAGCGCATTGACAGAAAGTCAAGACGGCGGTTTGTCGCCATTTTCGGCCTCCGGGGGCCCTCGCCAGGCCCCGGGGCCGGCAGGAAACGATTCAGGATGAAAAGCCGGTCCTGGGGAATGGGCCGAGACCTCCGGGGGCCCCGTATTAGAAAAGTCACGACACCGAATCTCTGGGCCGTAAGCAGGTGTCGCTTCTATGCAGGCAGTTTCTGTATACAGTCAATCCGCACAGGAAGGATGGGCAGCCTTCCCGAGTGTGGCCTGTTGCATTCTTCTTCTCGGTCCATCCTTGGCCACTTTCGCTGGCCGCGCCCCCCTCGCAAAGTGCCGATACGGCCTTCCAAGGTCCTTCATCCTTATCGTGCGTCCTTCTGATGCGGGTTGACTTTAGAGTTGCATATGGTGGTCCTTCGCCTTCCTCGCGCTCCCTCCTCTCCGACACAGCGCCGAGCAGCAACAACAACAAAATGGAGAGACGAGGGATACTGCGCTGGCCGAAGCCAGTGGAAGCCAGGCTCCCCCACTCCGAAAGATCTGATGCTGGGGGCGTGTGTGTCAGTATCATTCAACCGATCCCTATCCCCATCCCCATCCTCGTCTCGAGCCCCACCGTCTCAGCACCTCAGTCGGGGACATGCCCCTCGAAACCCGAAGGGAACGGCCTATATCCCCAGCGAGGGGAGTAAATCGGCCAGTGGGGCCCAGGCCACGCCGCTGGGGATGGGGGTCAGATAAACGATGCTCAGATGCAGCGCCGGCGGAAGGCCAGCCGAAGCCAGTGGAAGCCAGGTTCCCCCACTCCGAAA